CTGCGGCTTGAAGCACCAGCTGGAGTCGAGCTTTGGCCTGTTCTGCAGGAGTCTGGAAAAAAACAGAGGATCATGTCATTATGAAATTGAGGAAATAATATAATAAAACACAACTCCAACCTTGATAGTCAAACAGAACCAATGTGAGCAGTTAAAGCAGCTTCAGTGGCAGGGCTTAGCAAAAAGAGGAAGAATGTCCTCAGTCATGTACAAATGACAATAAATCCCAGCAGATCATGTGTGTGTGTGTGTGTAAACATGCGCACGAAGGCTAAACAGGGTGAGATTTCGCAGTGGCTCGGATATAATTCCTATCCCTCCACTATTAGATTCCACCCTCTTAATTGTCAAGAAAGAAGAATGATGAGGGAAGGAAGTTATAAAGGGCTCTAGATTGCTCTCGAACGCGGGAAAGCCTGGTGTGAGTTGGTGTTATGAAGGTGTGTAGGATTACAGAGAAATTAAATGCTAATAGGATGAAATTTAAATGTGGATCCTGCAAGGCTCACCGTAGCTCATCGGAGAATGTGGGTGTCGCTGACAGCGCTGACGCACATTATTCAGCATAAATCTGATTTATCAAACTGTAAAGGTGTCACTTTCTAAAAATGTCATTTGGGGTGATGACAGGGAAATATAATGACCCGCTTTAATGTAAAACTGTCACTCCACTGTGTCTTGGATGACAAACACGTCAAGCTCTTCTTGGAAATCGGCTTGTTTTTGACACCTCGCTTTCGATAACTTTTAAAAAAACACGGTTCCTCTTCTCATCCTCCTCTTACTCGTTTCGTCCCCTCCCTCCTTTATATTGTTATCAGAAGCATATCAGACTGTTTCGGGGCATCAATCAAGCAGAATGAATGTTCAGATAAACCCCCTCTCCTCCCATTCAAACCCATCCTCTATTCTCTCAGCCATTACAATAACATCCAGTCATGCCGCAATAACCAGGCGGAAGAACAGACGGATCTTAAACAGAGGGATAATAGCTGGCAGCGCAATCATCTTAGTTACAGTTTATTATGAAATTTATACCATTGCATTTGCATTTGTTTAAAGTGACCCTGAGGCATGTGTCCGGTGATATTACACCACCAAGTGTTTAGACAAGGGAGAGGGGAAAAAAAGGAAAACATATAAAGGGGGGCTGGGGGGGACGAGCATCAATATGAAGAAAAATATAATTAGTTTCAAAGGATGACAAATGGGTGGCGGATTAATAATTAGATAAGTTTGTCAAATTATGAGACAGGCCTCATTCTGGCAAACACTGAGCAATAAGAGAGAGCTGATAAAATGTGACACAGATATAATACGAATAAGCTACAAAACGCCCACATCTGGAATACTATCCAATCTGGTTATAACCCACATCCTAACTAACAGAACTGACCGCTAGTGCAATGCTGGAGCTCTGAATCATGATGAACAACGACCTGCAGGAAACAGACATCACAGGGGTAAAAGCATGTAGAAAAGCAGCGCTCACAAGCCATGTTTCCATCCACTTGTCAATCGAATTATCTGAAGTTCGGTAAAAAACCTCATGCGAATAAAGCTGGTGAAAGTGTGTTTCCATCAAACGGCTTTAAAGCGGATAAAAACCTGTGCGTAATGACGTCACATGCTGTTTTGCGATCAAATTGGTATATCGAATTGATTTGAGACATGTTAAGGTGTTTCCATTCATTTTCTCACCGAATTGCACAACATTCAAGCCAACATTTGCGAACAAAGTTTTACTAGGCAAAATGGATCGCACCATAATAACGTTTCCATCCGCGTTTATCGCATAAGCCGTCTATCGATCAAGATCAAATCCGATGAGACCGATCGTATTTCATTTGAGATTCATGAAATTCAATCGAATTTGACTGTTTCCATAAGGCATTTTTCATTCGATATCACTTAATGCGGATAAAACCGTGTGAATGGAAACATAGCTACTGATGTTTAGAGGAGCTCTGGCTAACTGGAATAAACCTTTCATTAGAGGCTCGCCCTCACTTTCCCAACAGCCCAGCCAAAATAGAAGAAAGAAAGAAAAATCTGCCCAAATTGAATCATCCTCTTGTCCTTTTAAATCTGTATTTTGGGACCCATTGACTTTCACTGTATGAAAAAAAAGGACACAAGTTTAGAACAAAAGGATGTGTACTATCCCTTTAATAGAGTCACATGATCCTTTAGAAATCATTCTAATATGCTGATTTGCTGCTCACGAAACTTCTGATTATTATTATTATCAATGTTGAAACTGTTGGGATATGTACGATTTAGAAAATAACATTTCGAGGCATTCGATTGATCAAAAGTGACAGTAAAGACATTTATAATGTCACAAAAAGAATTTTAAAACTTTCTATTCATTAAAGAATCCTGAAAAATACATCACATTTTACACAAGAATATTACGCAGCAAAAACGGTTTCCTACACTGATGATGATAACTATTATTAATAATTGAGCACCAAATCAGCATATTAGAGTGATTTTTGAAGGATCATGTGACACTGAAGACTGGAGTAATCTTAATTATTCCAAACTAGGATCGGTAGTGCATACCGTTTAAATGAAAATAAATCAACAATATTAATAAAGTGATATAAATACATAGCCTAAATGAATGAGCAAATGTGATATTGGCACCGACGCGTGATGCAGCCATACTCATAAGGCTGAGTAACAGGGCTTCTCCAATGATAACACTGATGTGTGATAAATCTAGTCCAATCGGGATTGTTCAAGCTTCTCACACACATAATGTATTTGAGCTCCGAGCAGAGACATGATGAGTCCAGGCTTCATGGGCTTTAGAGTCCCACTGATCCCACGGTCCTGGAGCCGTCTCTAAACACACCACACACACACACACACACACACTGAGCCAAACCAATTATCTCAATTACTGCACCCACAGCTCCACGTTCACGCTGCTTCCCTCGCTGTCTGTCTACGGTCCACACCTAGATCTCTGCTGTCCATCCCGACCGGGATAGCAGCGGGAAAGGGAACATTTTTAAGAGTGTTTAGGCAAAACATTAGCAGTATGACAATTTTGTTTTACTCCCTTTTGTTTTTTCGTTGGAGAATCTTAATTTGCTGCAATTGGGATTCTGTTTTCCATGAATCTCGAGTACTGATATTTGCATTTGTTCCCTGTTTTCATTTCCATAACATTTCGAACAGTCAACGTTAAGACAAAACAAGAAGCAATCGCTTCTACGAATCCCGAACACTTCTGTGTCCTTGAGTTAAAAATATCAACAAACTGAGTAACAACATATATACTGGATCATCACAGTAAAGACAAACCTTCCTTACGAACCATCGAGGAGGCATGCTGGAAAACAAGCCATGGAAGTTTCCTTTCAAATAAAAAGAAGCACACACACACACACACACACACGCTTCGATCAAAAGTTAATCAAATGTGACAGTTACCATTGTCTCAAATTGAAGGTTTTTTTTTTTACTTTCTATTCTTCGAAGAAAATTGTCTTCAAAGAATCTTAATAAAAAGTATGACAGGTTCCACAAAAATATGAAGCAGCAAAACTGTTTTCAAAATGGATAATAATCAGAAATGTGTTAGAGTGATTTCTGAAGGATCATGTGACCCTAGTAATGATGCTTTGATCACAGGAATAAATTACACTTTACAATATAGAAAACAGTTATTTAAAATTGTAATGATATTTTGCAATATTACTGTTTTACAGTATTTTTGATGAGCAGAAGAGACTTCTTTAACAAACAAAACAAACATCTTACGACCCCAAACTTCTGAACGGCAATATATATCGAGTTTATTCCATTACTCATTACTGTACTCATCTCATCTCATCTGACTTCTTCATCCTCATTGATAGTCATTTTTCATTTGTTATTTCCAACCTCTGGCCCATTCCTTAACCCAAAAAATAAATAAATAAATAAATAAATAAAGACTGCAGCATTACGTTACAGGATCCCCCTAGAAAATGCAATATTCTGTTTTTAATATCCAGGTCTATAAGATCAGGGTGGAGATGGGCTCCAGTGCAATATGTTTATTTATATATTTATAACAAATACTGCATATCAGGAGTTCTGGGCCGGGCGTCTATAAAATATAATGTTGTGTATGGATATCTTTTTTAAATATAATCTCAATATGAAATCGGAGGCCTTTTTTACAATGTGCCATACTTCAGGACGGCGCTAACAGCATTTAGGAAAGCAGAGGCTGTTCATCTTTGTGTCTACAGTAGGCACTGCCGCTGCATAATAATAAGCTTTCCTGCCCCAAAATGTTATTTAGCCGCCTGACGCTCATTTCTCAAACTTCACCACTTTTACAATTTTCCCAAACTTTTATTTCCTTGATTATTGCCAACAAGATTTCATTACGTATTTAGAATGTAAACAAGCGTGAGTGATGACAGAGGTTTAACCGCGGCGGTCCTCGCCTTCAAACACACACACACACACACACACACACACACACACACACACACACACACACGCACACGAGCCGGGCCAAAATGAAAGGCAATTGTATTAATAGACTTTTTTTGACATGCACGTGTGTGTGTGTGTGTGTGTTACAGCCAGAGAAGGCTGGGCGTTGGGCTCACACTCAACTCACATAAATCATGTAGAAGAAAAATGAACAAATGTGGCGGCTAACTCATCTCCTCACCATCCGGAGAAAATGAAATTCACTGGAATACCTATCAAAACTGCAATCATCAGGAGATAAAATCGCCTTTGCTCCATCTGCACTTTCCGATTTAATTTCCTTTATGCCCTTGACATTCAGAGATACCATTTAGATAATATGTATACAGTAAGGGACCAGTTCACCCGCCGTGATATATATATAATAAACACTAAATTCAACACCATCATTTGGAAATGGATATGCAATATTTCTCAGTTGTTGTTGTTGTTGTTGTTTGTGTTACTCTACTGCTGGTGCGAGAGCTATGCAAAGAGCACAGGATCTTAAGAGAGAACGAGATAAAGCAGCGGGATATGAAAGCTGCGCTCGGCCCTTCTATCAGT